AGCTGCTAAGTTACTCCCCTCAAGGATTCAGCATGGTAACCCAACAATCTGATAGGGATAATTGATTTGATTTTTATTATGTATGTATATTTAATCAGTTTTGTTACAATTTAGTAAAATTGTATGATATTAATCATGTGTTTTGATTCCTATGTTTTTTATTATCAACTATGTAATAATAATAATAATAATAATAATAATAATAATAATGCCATACCAATAAAAATCATTGAAAATAATTTACAAATAAATGTCTTAAATAAAAAATATCAATTTTGAAGCAATATTAATTCAAAGGGAGAATTCAATTAATAAAACTTATAATCATCTTTATATTGTTTGGCAATATGTATGTATGTATGTATGTATCTATCTATATATGTATGTATGTATATGCATGTGGTTAGAATGTTCTCTTTCTGACCATGAGATCCAAGTTCAAATCTTACCAGGGTCAATTTATCAGGAAGGTAGCTTCTTGATGTTATCAGTCCAGAGGAAGCAATCCCAACATAAGGCACCTTTGGAAAGTGCCTAAAAAAGAGACCACATATTGACCCGAGCCTTATGAAAGAAATTGGGTAGACAGAACCCTAGTATGAAGTCACATGCTGGCCTTGTTCAGACTGTTGATCACACTAGATCACATGCTCTCTCCCAGAAACTGTAATTAAGGTCAGCTCGACATAGTTGCAGTATAAACTGCAGCTTGGTTCTGTAGGTGTTGAACAAATATAAATGTGCCTGAGTAGGCATCTGCAAATTAGCTAGCCACCCCAGTAGATGAGTATCCTCGGACAAGAGTGGCCAGCTACTATGTATGTATATATGTTCAAAGATTTCAAGGCTGTAAACTACAAGAGAAAGTCAAACATCCACACTCTTGTTTACGGCAAAAGTTCAGATAATTTTTGACTTACCCTCGTACGCTGACAGCCATCTACAGCAACCTACAGGAAATTTATAACAGTTTTTTGACAAAGTATGTGGGTCAACTGAATAGGCACATGAGAGTGCATAAGGCCTGGATAAATTCAAAGACTATATGCAAGTCTTTTGTCACTTATATATGCAGGGAAGCTTGCAGAATTGAGATATTTTGAGTCACTTGCATACAGCTACTCGATCCAAAATTGAAAAAATGGCCTCTTGCCAAGAAATTTCAATCACTATGCATGTATGCATGTTAAGAAAAGTGTGCGGAGCAGAGAATGAATTTGTATCAAGTCTTTCTTGATTTGACAAAGGCATTTTACACAGTCAACGGGATTGCTTTTTTGGGGAGATATTGAGAAAGCCAGGTTGATCAGAAAAAATGATTAACATTCTTTGATGTTTACATGATGCCATGAAAGTGTCAGTAAATGTTGGTGATAAGCTGTCTGAGCCAACTGAGATGAAAAATAGAGCAATGCATGAAGATATTGCTGTTTATTTGCCCTTTACTTTACCATGGTGTTTTACAAGGCATTCAAAGTCTGTGCTGATGGGATATGCTATCACACTTCTGGCAAAGTATTTAATATCAGGAGAATGCCAGCCAAGATCTATTAACCTTATATAAAACTTCTTGTATACAGATGATGGTGATCTTGTGGTCCATACTAAACATGATATGTAATGCTTAATGGATGCTTTTTTATTAGTGCTCTCTCTCAAAAAACTGTAGTGATGTATCAGTCTGTACACCAGAAAAGGCTTATATTGAGTCAAATATCTATTGTAGACAATAATTGTATAAGTATAGTTGATGACATGGTTTATCTTTATCTGTCAAGAACATGCTCAGTGAAGTTGGGAGGAGAATTCAAAAGGCCAGTAATGCATTTGGTAAGTTGGAACAGTAACTATGGAGACAGAGCACCAATCGTAGTTAAGTAGTGAGAATTCATGTCACATTTGTGGAAAAGTTTTCAAGTCAGCTGGTGGACTAAAAAACATGCAAGCATTCATAAAAATAAACCTAATGACAAAATGTATGTGTCCTATGTCTGCCAGGTTTGGATCATAGGATTTAAAAGTTTGTCCAGTTTAAAGAACCATATCCATTCAAAATACATGTTGTAGAGTAGCTAGCACCCCTTCAGTACTCTACCAGATGGCCTGGCTCATAGCCTTAAATAGTCTATGAGGACTTCAGCTGTTGATTAATAATTTGATACTAAGCTGATTAATATTTGGACTGATCTTACTTCATTTGGCTATAGAGCATTTGACCCACCTCTATTTCTTGTAAGTTGTTAATTGTTTTGTAACTTATTGTTCTGTGTTTTCTCTATGTATCCATTAGCACCAGATACTGGTGCTGAATAAATATATTAAGCACCGAATTTATTCTATATACACCAATCATACACTTGTATATATATATATATATATATATATATATATAGGCTACTATGTATGTATCTGTGTGGTAGTATGAATGTGTGCATATATATATATATATATATATATATATATATATATATAATAATTTTTTTTCCTCACTGGTACCACAAATTTGAGTTTCATGCACAATGCAATCACCAGGTGTTGTTTGAAAACACATTTTTCAATCAGTAACTAATGATTGCATATTGCTACCGATGAGGAAAAAATGTCTATTTATTATTAATATAAATTATATCTCTGTTATTATACATCAACTACTATTTTATTAGTACCAGCACCCAATCCAACTTGGATGTGCAGGTGGTGTAATGGATAACAGCTTGGAAATCAGAGAGATGAATTCCAATTCCAGTCAGGTTCTCATTAATTTCTCTTTCACTTGGGAATACATCTCTTCTCCCCCCAGCTATAGGGTAATTAGTAGGACTTGTATCAATAAATTATTATTATCTCAAAAAAATTCTTACAATCTAAAAATATTTTCTATTTTTAAATAACCTGCAAAAGTTTGATAAGCTTTAAAGATAAAAAAATAATCAAACCATATCATCAGAAACATTTTTCTGGTGAGTCTAATTTTCCTAGTTTGATTTTCCTACATTGTCTTACATATTTACCATAAGCACATGTATGAATGTATATGTGTTTGTATGTGTGTCTGTATGAGAGAAGTTATTTCGTACATGTTATATGACATTTCTACTTGTTGTGAGTGTAAAGAAGAATGTGCTTCATTTGGTGGACTAAAACATCATATGTAAGTTCACTGAAATATTAATATAACAACTACTGCACAAGACACCCATTGTTGCCACATCTGCACAAGAGAATGTAAGTCCCTAGCAGGACTAAAAAGCCATATTTGAAGATAAATCAAGTGATATCATTACTTGAAATTGAGTTGTCTGTGTCTGTGCCTATATGCAAGTTCATAGGCTTCTAAATGTGTGTGCATGTGTATGTGGCAAGATTATTACATTGTATTTGGGTGTATCTAAGTTTGAGATATCAACTAATAATTTGAATATTCATATTTTATGTAAAGAATAATGAACATATGTTTAAATAAGCTTTTATTTCATCATTGTAAGGAATCTGTTTTCAATTTACCAAATACATTTTGAGATAAAATACAAAAAGAAAACTCTCAACATTTGTCATTTATATTCTTTCTGCTGTTGTTACTATTACTACGTTGAGTCAAAAAATTTTTAGTATTTCAAGCTTTAACTAATCGTTCAAACAAATTACATATGAAAAACGTTTATTCATCAAAATATATCCCATAATATTCTATTGTCTGTTACCATCATTATGCCAGAAGCTCAATTCTCTACTTATAATATTTGATTGCTTTACAGGCAAAAAATGCCCTGCATTTATTTTCAACCTCATCCACAGTGTTGAACTTTCATTCATGCAGGAAATGAACCATGGCTCAGAAAACATGGTATTCTGATGGTGGAAGCTCTGGATTGTAGATATGTGGAGGTAGCATTTCCAGCTCTTCAAGTTTTCTCAATTTTGCACTTGGTCACATTGGTCAGTATGTACTGGGATATCATCATGCTGTAGGAGTGCATATCTTCAATTGACAAATGCCTGGTAATGGGCTTTCAAAACATCATACACTTGTTGCAGTTGTTGAGCATAAATGTCAGCATTCAAAGCATGACCAACTTAGACAAAGTCAAAGAACAGCCACCTCAAAATTCCACCAAACACACAAAATGACCATCTATTCAAACTGTCCTTGGTTGACCGGTAGGTTCTAAAGCCTGGCTGGAATGAAGCCACTGATTTCTCTTATTAAGATTATGGAAATAGATCTATTCTTCATCCACAGTTACAATTTGATACCAAAAACATGCATCTTGAAGATTTACCAAAAGTTGTTTGGAAATGTTCACATCATTGAGCCTGGTCATTGATCAGTTCATGAGGAACTTCTCAACAGCATCTTTTTACAAGATTGAGCTTATAGAGTAATTGTTAGATGGTAATTTTTGAAGGAAAAGTTTGTCGACAATGCACAAGTGCTTGTGCTTAGCTGTTGTCAAACCATTTCTATCAAGGTCTCATCATCCTTGATCTTGGTTTCTCTTTGAGGCTAGTGTCACTTTCCTTAAGATGTCTGAACTAATTTTGTGCCACATGCTTATTGACGGTTCCTGGGCCTCCCACATCAATAATTTATTTTGCCACACAAACCTTTTTTTTCCACTGGTTCTGTAAAACGGCTCTAATTGCAATTTTTTCACCATTCATTAAAGCTGTAAAATAAAGAATAAACAATTAATGTTTATAGGTTATTTATAAAAATAAAGAACAAACAATTCAGCAATGCTTGGAAAACAAGTTGTATCAAATTAATGATATAATTATGGAGATACAAGTCGCTAAAAATCAGTGAAAATCTGGAAAATTTTTGACTCAACCTGGTAACAATAATTTATTGCATCATCTTTCTTTCCTTATTCAAATAAAGACCTTATTTTCTTTTGCTTTTCTTTATTTTCATTCAACATTTGTTCTTTATGCTGTTCTTTACTATTTAATCACTATTTTTTAAATGCTTCTCAACAATTTTATTATATGTCTTTTAGCCCGCAGATTAGCTGCTCAAAAAGTTAAAAAGATGAAAGAAAATAAAGAGCTGACCATTGGAGATGAAGATAACGACGGTGACTTATTATCAGGTATCAATGTGGGTTAGTTGATGCTCAGGTAGCCTGGGCTTGATCCTTTAGGTGTACCCTTCCTCCTCTTCCTCTTCCTCATCCTCATTCCTTCCTCATCCTAGTGGAAAACCCTCATTTATTTTTAAATATTTATTTTGGCTTTTTGCATGTTTTTGTTCTTTTTGTCATATCCATTTTGATGCCAAAAAATACATATCACTGCAAAAGTCAACTAGTAAGATTTGTCAAATACACTAAACTAAATTTCAGTATCTCATGTATTCTGAATTAGTTTTTCCTTCTGATTTCAGTGACTTGGACTTTCTAAAATAGTTTTCTTTATTGGCTTTTATTTTTATTTACTGGCAATCAGTAATCAGTTAAATAAACCATTTCCAAGCAATATGCATTTTCATTAGTTTCTTATAGTGAATTTATTTAAATTAGCTTACATTTTTATAGAAATCAAATTTCTATTATAGAATGTTCCTTTATTTTACAGAAACTAAATGTTCATTTTGCTTTTAAATTTTCAGATAATTCTATCTCAATATTTAAATTTACATTACAAATAGATATCAAATATTCATTATTCAGGTAAATCTATTAGCTCTACATTATTTAAAAATGCTTTTCATGCAGGAAAATCCAGATGATTTTTATAGTTTGCCATATTGATAAATAAGTCAATCTGAATACTTATGTTTTCATATTTACCATGCAATAATAAAAGAATTAATCTTTGAACTCCAGGTAACTTAATTCAGCTTCATGACAATAACCATTTTCTTAATGGCTTTATTTGTTTACTAATGTTTTTACTAAATAACATTTTTTTAAAAATATCAAAGATATTGAATGCTTCTTTATAAAGTGCAAAAAATAGATAAAAATTAGTATGTTGTGAAGAGTGAGTTTTAAATTATCTTTTGTAGACACTTTTTCTGTAAGAGTTTACCTACATGCTAGATTCTATTTTTATTTTCACCCCTAACTGAAATATTCTTCGTTTTCTCTGATATTTATCTGATTAGGATTACTCATCTACAAGAAACATCAATGATAAAAGTCGGTTTTATTCATTTTATATAACTCAACTGGAAGAACAAACTTATTTGAATCAATCCTATATCACTGAAACTGAATTGATCCTAGATCAATGAAAATGAATTGTTCCTAGATCAATGAAAATGAATTGTTCCTAGATTATTGAAAAGGAATTGATCCTATATAATTCAATACCAAAAACTTATTTGTATGACAAATTGAACAATTTGTTTTTTTATTATTTTTTTACTTTGTTTTGTAGTAGAGATTTTTTTGCAATTAAATGTATGTTTTTTTTTTCATTAATTCATGTACTCTTGTTTAATTATAAAATGCTTTTTTTGCTTTTTATTTCTGTGCTACATGTGAAATTTGAATGCAATGAACTAAAATTTATTTCACTTTGTAAACTTGTGATGTGTTGACATTTTCAATATAATTTTGCAATTTCTAACAATTACAAATTGAACCATGTTTTTAATTAGTAAAAAACATAAAAAGACAAAGAACAAAATCCTTGGATGGATAAGCAGAAATCCTATGGGAAATGCTTTGTTTTATGCAAATTTCTCCTCAGTCTGCCATATTCTGATATAACACAGCAAAGAATTTAATTTGTTTTAATGCCTTAAATATTTTTTGGTAAATGTAGCAAATGTAATGGTTGTCAGCATGGAATCTATAAACCAAATTCAAATTCCAGCCTAGTCTGTTACATTCACTTTCATACTAAAGCCTTTGGTAAATAGTAGGGTAGACTAGGTAGATTAAAGACTATTGCTGCAATTTTGAATCTGACCCTCATTTGATCTACAATTGTGGCCTTCTACCTGACATAAAAAAATACTAGTTAGCAATCTCGTCTTGCAAACCATTACATAGTTTTGTCTTGTACCAGACCAAACACTAATGAAAAGGTGTGTGCAAAAGTTTCCAGCAAAATCTAGTTTGCCAATGTGTGTGCAGGTCATGTAACTGTTAATGGTGCAAAAAGCAAAATTGGAAAATCAAGTGCAAATTATAGTTTAGTTTGATATGCACACTTTTACACCAATGCTTTTATAAAAGGCATAAATCCATCTCTTGCCCAACTCCAGCTATAGATTAAATAGCAGAGTAGACTGGATTTTCTGGTCAGTTCAGGAGAATGATTACTTTGAATACAAAACCATGGAAAAGGAAACTAGAAACTATCTTTCCAAAGAAGTTATAGAGTTTTTTACACAATCTGTGGAGAGCTATGATTGCCAATGTATTTAGCAGACATAGTATTTAAAAAAAAGTTTTCTTAATTGAGTATGATAAATTATTGATGTTAAAAATCAACAAAATAAATAAAAACGAAATATGTGAAAATCAGTTGGAATGTTAAAAAATTTATTTAAGTGTTAGATAATGGAAATGATATTTAAGTGTTAAATGATTTAAGTGTTAAATGATGATGTGTAAGGGTTAAATGATGTTTAAGTGTTAAATGATGATGTTTAAGTGTTAAATGATGTGTAAGGGTTAAATGATATTTAAGTGTTAAATGATATTTAAGTGTTAAATGATATTTAAGTGTTAAATGATGATGTGTAAGTGTTAAATGATTTAAGTGTTAAATGATGATGTGTAAGTGTTAAATGATATTTAAGTGTTAAATGAAGGAAATGGTATTTAATTTTCATTCCTTTACATGAGTATCGTCAAAATGTAATGAAAAATTTAAATTAAAGTCATTAGCATAAGAACCTTGTTAACAGATTTTCCTTTGAGTTTGCATTTGTATTTTGAAAATGCTTATGTAAAGTAGCAAAACATCAACACATAAATAAAAGATTCTTCAACATCCACCTGGCTTCACATATTCTATTTTTATTTGAGTCTGTGAATTTTAACTTATGTTTACTTTACCATTTATTCTGATAACAATGAAATCATTTAACTTTTTGTAGAGATTGTTTTAATAATGCATTTTTCCTTTTTTTATCAGTTTCAATATTTTCAGTAATAATCAATAAAATAAGTATTATTGATTTGGTTTATACTTTTGTATTTATAAAGTGAAATATTGTTTCTTTTCCTTTGGTTCATTTTTAATTTCAATGCTATATTTCAACTAATCAAAATTTTTCTCATCCAGACATTTTTTCTTTAATATTTAAATAAAATAATGACCATAATTTTTAAAGGAAAATAATAATTTTTTTCACCCATATGTTTTATTTTAGAATGTATCCTTAATAGTTCTTTGGAGAATGAAGAACAATTTATTCATTAATATACTGTTTTGCAATATACTTATCATTTCTTTTGTTTTGTTTTTTTTAGGCGGTTCATTTGGAAGAGGTCTCAAGAATAGAAAAGCCCATGGTAGGTGTGCTGGATTCTGGAGAGCTGAAAAACATCTGCGGTAGGTATAGTCTGAAGAAACGTGAAAATAATACAACAATATGATTTAGTATCAGAAAGTTCCCAGACGAGGCCTACAAAAAAAAATCTCACCTGTAGAACTAGCTTCTGGCTTCTTGCTTTCAACTACAATCTTCAAAACTTTAAATGCAGTGTCAATCGTTATCATCTTTTTCCTTGAATCCTATTCTCTTATCATCCTCTCTTCTGAATAATATTTTCTCAGTTTCTTTCACACTCAGTAAATTCTTATGGCTTTATCACATTGCTTGGGGTGAAATGATTGAACAAATAAAGAAATAAATAAAATAAAAATAAATCAAATTAATTAAAAAAAAAAAATGTTCTAAAAATTTTTTTCTGTAATTGCTTTTCATTGATCCTTCACTCTATTGTTTTTCATCCTCATACCCCCCCTGCATCTTAGTGGCTTTATTGCCTTGAAACAATAAAAAAAACATTAATTCTGTAAATAATATATTTCCTATATTATTTAAATTTAGCTACCATCCCCTTTGAAATAGTCCATTTGGAAATGCATGTAGTGATCCCAGCTAGGGGACAAATTTTACAGTAATGTGATAAGTTTTCCATGTGGATTTCCTGGCTGACTTCATAATTAATTCTAGTCATATATAAAGGAAGCTGTTGAGAACCATGATCATACACGTCCTGAAGAGACATGGCACATAAAAGAAGTACAAGCTTTTTAAAAACCTGTTCCATATTTTTTACCTGGCATAAAAATGTTCTGGGTATGATGATAAACTAAATCTGCATCCTGGGTAAGATGATAAACTACATCCAAAAGCAAGGCCTCTGATCAGGTTTCGAGGAGCGTGAAACCACCTCTTAATTGCTGATGTTCCCAGGTCCACCCTAACCTGAGATGGTAGCATCTGTTAAGATCCCAGCTATGGATAAATAGTTAACCCCCAAATTGGGGTTAAAACACTATGAAAGTGTAAAAATAGGTTTTAATACCAGAAATACTTTGTAAAACATTATTACCAGAAATACATTTTTGTGCTAACATTCTCAGCTGAGATGAAGTGGAAAGATTATATTGAATCTGTTGCTAAGTCTGCTGTTAAGAAATTTCATCCACTGCATCATATTAGACAATTTTGCTCTCCAGAATTTATCTCACATATCTATAAGTGTACCATTCATCCATGCTTCAAATATTGCTGCTGCAAATAGTCTGGTGTTCCTGCTCTATACTTAGAGATTTTTGATAAAATTCAAAGAACCAGCAATATTATCAGTCCTGACCTGGCATCTCAGTTTCATTCACTTTCCTACCACCATAAATTTGCTTCCCTGTGCCTTTTCTATAAATACTTTCATGGTAATTGTTAGAATGACCTCTTCGCTATGGTACCAAGACTTTATGAATTTATCCCAGAAATTCAGATAGAAACTGGTTTCATCATTTTTTTTAAAAAATCCCTTCTATTTGCTGAAGTAACTGGATTCCTGATTTCTTTTTCCATTTTTCTTCAATGATTTATTATTTTTTTATAAAATTCAACCCATGCAAGGTAGTAAAGGCACTATGACACAAGCTGGTGCTAGGTGTGGAAGAATTAGAAAACAGAAACATTATGATAGAGCAAGAATAACAGAAAAGTAATTAGCAAGACAGTAGTTGGCTGGAAAGCATGGAGCTAGAAGAGAGTCTCACAAATGAGAAGTGTATGAAAAGAAACTTATGGTTACATATAGCCAATTCAACTGTAAATTGATCACAATATTTCAGCTGTTGTGCTCTCTGGCATTCATCAGGTGTATATTGATGTAGGTAACCAATGGAAAATTTCAAAATAAACACTTTATTTAATCTAGAGGGCTAAAGTGTTCTCATCCACTGTCTATGTCCAGGGATATCATATCTATTTCTTATTTAGAACTGCACAGCTATTGCTCACCCAATTTCCATGTATGCACTGCCTGGCCCAGAGATTGAACTCACCATTACTATATCACCAAATTCATGAACCAATACTTTAAACCACTAAACATTCAAAAATGAGGATAATGCTCAGCTCAAATTTTCTCCATGAATAGAAGTGATATTATAAAAAAATAGAAACCGTTTTTTTCATTTACATAAAATGAATTCCTATTTTCCTATTTTCAAACTAATCTTTTTGTCCTTTGAATGAAAAATATGTTAATTATACCCTTTTCTTCTTTTCTTGAAACCAGCTTCACAATTCGAAAATGTGTGAAGACTCAAGGATTTTACTGGTTTGTCATAATCCTCGTGTTTCTGAACACACTATGTGTAGCCTCAGAACATTATGGCCAGGCAGAATGGCACACAGAATTTCTATGTAAGTATTTTTAATCTTTTTCATACTTATTATTTTTTATTTAAAATGTGGAAAGTAAAATAAGATGAAAAAAAGAAACAAACAATAGGGAAAATACCTGTACATTTTTCTGGGTGTTTTTTCCTTTTTATTATCAACTCTATTTGAAAAAAAATTTGGGTAACATAACCCTGAAAAAAATTACTGACTGAAACACCTAGTTTCTGTCATGTCATTCAAAGTAATCCCTTTACTGTATTCTCTTGCCGTTGACAGTGATATCATTGGCAAGGAGATAGCATCTCTAAAACTGAGACACTGCAAAATTTAGTTGGAGTTTTGACTGCTAATTATATACTTGGATTGCAACTATAAAATATTATGATTACAGAAACTAACCATTCAACATGATGTTTCTTTGAGAATGAGGGGGAGAAGGAGGATCAGCATCATCTTCATGCAGAGTTTTTCTTCTAGACTAACTGCCAGCCAAGATCAGAGAGAACAGTCTGCCTTGATATTAAACTCATAGCTGTCAGAAGATGGATTTATGCCTTTTCCAAGGGTATTAGTACAAAGTGAACAGGACAAACTTGGCCAGAAATTGAATTTAGTATGCTGATTCCACTCTCTGCACCAATAAATGTTTGTCTATAATGTTCAATTCATTTCTATATACACATTTGTTAATATTTTGATATAGTTTAATAATAGGCTTCAGACACTTTCCCACCACTGTAACATGGCCTCCTTCTGCAAATTCTATAAAATATTTTCATGGTAATTATTCCAATGAACTTTCATAAAGTCTAAGTATCATAGATGATACTTACACTTTATGAATTTTAAGTGCAGTAATAGATTGGTGAGAGTTTCATTATTTTACAGTTGAAATGGCCGCTAGATGTAACCTTTAGTTCTATGCTAACAGTTCCTTCTATCACACTTCTTGCTTGTGGAACTCTCTTCCAGTTTCTTACTTCACAGTCAACTTTGATCTTCAAAAATTTAAATGCAATGTCAATCATTATATTCTGTCTTCTTAATTCCTGTTCTTTTATTGTTCTCCTTAATAATGTTTATCTCATATTCCCAAACACTAAGTAACTCCTTGAAACTTAGCATCTTTACTGCCTTGCTTGGGGTGAAATGATTAAAAGAAATTCTATTATTTCTGAATTTTTCCTTGTCTTCTTCACAGATGTTATGGAGTTTGCTTTTTTGGCGCTTTTTATGTCAGAGATGCTCATCAAAATGTATGGCTTGGGTGTTCGTCTGTATTTCCAGTCATCATTTAATATATTCGATTGTGTTGTAAGTATACACATTCTTTTTATTTGCCTCTATTTGATAAATGCTGCTCTGTTCATCTCTTTACTAGTTGTATAAACTGCAATTAAGTAGTTTCACAAACTCTAGTTAAGTTTTTTTGTTTTTCTTCAAAGCTACAGCTTACAATTCCTTTTTATAAAAGAAAAGTATCAGTTAGGAATTGTTTTAACAGAGGATGAAAAATGCCAAGCCAAAATCTGAAAGCACATTAGAATAGTGAAAGATGCCTTCCAAAAGCTAAGCAAAGTATTATGAAACAGGAAAATGTCATTAGAAACAAAGAAAACAGTGCTGAATTACGATGTGATATCCATCCATATATGACACTGAATGCTGGATAATCTCCCCATGGATTAGGAGAAAACTGGAGGCAAGGGAAATGTGGTTCTACAAAAGGATACTGAGAATTCCATGTCAGGAGCAAATAAGAATCAAGGAAGTATTTAAAGTGTCAACAAAAAAAACACAGGCTCAGAAGCAACAACTGAAATTCTTTGAGCAAATGATGAGGAAGACAGAGAGCATGGAAAACTTAACCTCTACAGGGCATATTGAGTGCAAGCGAAATAGCAGATGGCAGCAAGCTGACGAGCTTGTGTGAATGGATAGGCGGAGATGTTTAATAAAGGGAGTAAACTGTAATGGACCACAAAGAATAAGAAGTTTGGGAGAGCCATGATCCTCATATCCGGAAGGGATGCCACACATAGAAGATATATAAATGATGTCATGTATGAAATGGTTCCACAGAACTTGAGATGATATTTTGAAATGAGTATGAAATAATACATATAAAACATTTTTAGACCTATTTCCTATATTGTTAAGCTCCAAAACATGATATGGCAGTTGTTCTAAGGATCTCTCCTCCTTGTTACCTTGACTGCATGAATTGGCAGCTAAGTCTCATTATTTGGTAATTGGCAACTAGGTCATCATTTTACTGTTTCAATAACTAGATGTAACCATAAGTTCTATTGTAAGAGTTTCTTTTCTTGCCCGTGGAACTCTCTTCTGGTATCTTGCTTCACTGTTGCCAAAAATCTTCAAAAATTTAAATGCAACTTCTATCACCATCTTCTGTCTTCCTGAATCCTGTTCATTCTTCCACTCACAGTAACCTTTTGCTTCTTAGTGGCATTAATGCCTTTGCTTCGTGAAATCATTAATATATATATATATATATATATATATATATATATATATATATAGTTGAATTGATAAACCAACTAAATATGTTAGCTCTATCACTAATATTGAGTCCTTTGCAATAAGTACTGCACATATATAATATATAAATAATATATATAAAAAAATTGCATATATATATATATATATATATATATTATATATATACACATTTTATATATATATATATATATATATATATATATATATATATATATATATATATATATGTATATAAAATAAAAAGAAAGAACAGTAAGATATATAATCCGATGTTCTTATAGATATTTTTATTTTTTACAAAATAGTGCTCAATGTAAATTTACAGAGCATTAATATTACAAATTAATTGACTTAAATGTGTTTTTTTCCATATTTTAAATCAATTAATTTATAATATATGCATGTATGTATATACTAGCTTAAAAACTTTCAGGGGGCATTAAAGCTAGCTCCTACAGAGGGCTTTTGATTGGCCTTTGGCTTGTTCAGAGGTTTGAGTCTTTGCATATTCTCAGCATTGGAAACTCTCCTGGCCTCTCAATTGATCTGGGTTTTCATTTGTATGGGACTTTCTTTTCCTCACTACAGCCTTGGATCTTTTGATTGCAATCTGGTCCTCTGTTGGTGGAGATTTCTTTTTGCAATCAACAACAGTAAAATACAGAACTCAATACTTATCACTCCATTTAAGTATTGCATTAATTTAGGTCCTTACTTGCCATACAAACAATTATTTTTATTTCATGGGTGACTTCTGCTAGATCTTGCAATTAATTTCAGTTATTCCTAAATTTGTTTTCAAGTTAAAAAAAGTGTTATCATACAAAAAAATTTGTTGCAAAAAATCAACAAAAATTTAGGAATACAAAATTTCTGTAACATGAGCTATTGAAAGTTAGAGATTTGCATCCTTTAATTGAAAAAGTGTGACACACTGACATTCACATTTATTTTATATATATATATATATATATATATATATATATATATATATATATATATTTAATTTGACAGATTTTCTTATATATATATATATATATGAAGAAATATAGTCTGAAGATGTACTATATTTATGGGATAAAGTGCTCAATATCAGAGATAGTGTGTGTAAATATAAAAGTGAACATAGAAGTCAGCACTTACAGACGACAATCTGTTTCATGCTAGATGCAATTGTCAGGCACTCGTGGCCTGACGACTGCATCTAGCATGAAACAGACAGTCGCCTCTAAGTGTTGACTTCTATGTTCACTTTTATATATATATATATATATATATATATATATATATATATATATTTAATTTGACAGATTTCCTTATATATATACATATATATATAAAAACAAAAGTAAAAGTATAAACTATTCTTTATTCATATTGTCCTTTTACAGATATATTTTATCATTTTAAACATTATTTTAAGTTGGTACTTGTATTTAGGTAGGGGCTCTGTTTATTTATTTTCATCTACCTGCCTGAATGTTTGAGAAATCTTATTAAAAGAATTTTGCACTCTTTACCAGGAATCAAACTTGCATCCCTCACTTTAAACTGGTATGCCTTACCATTTAGCCACTATAAAAAAGTCAGTCAGGCAAAGCCAATTTTATGCTGCCAATTAAAATTTCTCCTGTCATAATTCTCTCAAATAATTCTTTTTCATATTGTATCCACTAAAATAGCATTTAAAGTGATAAAAATCCATCAAATTAATAAAAGTCCATTCTAAAATACACACACACACACTATATATATATATATATATATATATATATATATATATATATATATATATATATATATATATATATATGAAAAAGTTTGTATATAAATATATATATATATATATATATATATATATATATATAATTATTTATATATTATATGCGTGGTACTTATTAGAAAGCGCTCAATATCAGAGATAGAGCTAACATATTTAGTTGGATTGATGTGAGTTTGTGACCCTGGGTTTCACGCTTTTGCAATCATCAGAAACCCAGGGTCACAAACATATATATATATATATATATATATATATATATTATATATATATATATATAAATTGATTTATTTAAAATATGTTTTTTTCGCTACACAGTTCTAACCATGTTTCAAAAATGGAAGCTAAAAGCTATGAATTTAATTTTGTACATATATATATATATATATATATATATATATATATATATATATATATATATATATATACTGTGTAATTAGGCAATAGGAATTCATTCCAGCAAGTTTTATTAAAATCAACTGATAATGCTCCTTTAATTTTTGGGTACATTTTATCAGTTCACTTATAAGTTGTCCTAAATCTAGATGAAACTAGTTTTTCCATAAATTTGATCATCTTATATGCAACCTGCAAAAAACAGCATTCTTTATAAAAGTAGAATATTATTGACTCAGAAATAAATAAATTGCACAGTACTTATAAGTATTATTGACTTTATTATTTCTGATTCAATAATTAAACTCTAGATAATTTTTTCTAAGTATTTGGAGAATCAAATCTGATGAGACAGAAAATGCTGGATCATTTAGCCCATAAGATGAAGAATCAATTAAATTTAGGTGATGACAGACTCAGAGTTATGACATTGTCTTAATTATGATCTGTAGATTTTAATTTTATGACTCGTCTCCCCTGCCTAATAAATTAGGGATGTGGGGAGGTCACCTTTTCTTTTTTTATTGAAATGACATCAGATAAGTATTGTTCACTTTATTATTTCTCATACAATAGTTATTGCTGTAGATAACAATTGATAAAAACTCTGCCCACATTGATATATGTTGAATTATATAATTTTCCATAAATATCAATAACTAGGATTATTATCATTATATTACAAATGTTTTTCCTTCACACATGCTGCCCCAAAATTAGATTCTATTCATTTCTTTTTTTAAGTATTTTCAGTGGCAAATTCCAGATATTTGTTCTATTAGGATAAACACTTGTAGTTTAATTAAAAAATTCTTTAATTGAAAAAAGAATTCAGTAATTATTATTTTGATAAGTTTTCTTTTCTTAGACAGATGGCCAACTCAACTACAGGAGTCTGATTCTTTTTGTTTTATTGCCTTTTTATTTATGATTTTATATTATTTCTACTGTAACTGAACTTGCAGATAATGTTTTTCATATTTTTTCTTCCTCCCTCCAGGTGATTCTTGTTAGTATTATTGAAGTCATTTGGTCAGCAATTAAAGATGGTTCATCATTTGGTATCAGCACACTCCGTGCCCTAAGGCTGCTTCGAATGTTTAAAGTCACTAGGTAAGAATTTTATTTACTTGTAATTTCAGTAACTTTTTATGTTCAAGATTGATGAAATAATTTTAAATTATACTAAAATGTTTAAATCATCTATAGTTTATTATGATTAAATTGAAAGATGGTCCATATACATTTCTTATAATATGTAGATTTAATAGGCCAGTTAATGAAATTTGAGGAACAAATGATAACAATACTTGCAATAAGATTGATGATAATTATTATATATTAGTAGGACTTTTGATTATATTGACGCACAAAGAGAAAAATTTTAAAGTCGGAATTTTTTGACACACCTATCTCCTTTTTCAACAAGAATTCCTACTTTAAAATCTTTCCCTTTGTGCTTCAATTTAGTCAAAAGGGTAATATATAATAAATATCGTCAATCTTATTACCAATATTGTTATCATTTTGTTGTCTTTTTATTCCTCAAATTTCATTAACCAGCCTATTAAATCTACGTATATATATATATATATATATATATATATATATATATATATATATATATATATATTATAATATTTATATATAGATTTGCATTGAGCAGTTTTGTAAAAATAAATCAGTGCAAAAACAGTTGTAAAAATAAAAATAATTGGATTATATAGCTTACTATTCTTTCTCTTTATTATAATATATATATATATAAACACACACATATATATATATATATACATGTGTGTGTGTGTGTGTATATATATATATATATATATATATATTGTTACTCTAGATATCTAATGATCAGTTTTTGACAAAAATAGTGAAAAAATGTTAAATTCTTGTAATTTTTATGTATTTTGCTAGGTGTTAATGATTTGTAGTATATTCACACACACACACACACACACACACACACACACACACACACACACACATATATATATATATATATATATATATATGTTAAGAAATGGACAAGGTCCGACAATTTATTTATTAAAGACATTTTTTTTTTTATGTTTAACGTATCTATAAAATAACAACGTTAAACATAAAAAAATGTCTTTAATAAATATATATATATATATATATATATATATTTATAATTATTTTCTTTTTTAAAATATGATTCCATCACGACACAGCAATTTCTATGTTTCAAAACTGAAACTAAAATTGTAAATTTAATTATAAAAATTAAACTTAAAATCCAGAGTTTCATTCCACTGTCAAGCAATGCTAGGATTCATAATTATAATATCATGCTCTACTGTTCGTACCAAGCACTTTTTTTTTTTTTAAATAAAAATAATTGCTAAGAAAATCCACACCTGAAGATTGCAGTGGCATGATACTCCTTGTTGTGCAATCAATGTAGGGTATTATGTATATTTTTTAATATATATATACACACACATATATATATATATATATATATATAAATATATGTTGGATATAATGGATATTTTAAATTATTTTTGTATTGTGTTCCATATGTTTTCAGAAATTCTCATTCCTTTTCATATGTACCTAAATGTTTGCAATGTTCCAGATGTTAACATGTACAATATTTTTATTCAAAAAGCTTACAAAAATGCAAACTGTAATAAATGGAATATTTACGATTAAACAACAAATATTTTCACAAGCAAATCTCACTACCCCACTCAAATAAGCCATATACTCTTGTCGGTCAATTGATCAGCTTCCAGGCTGCATATTTGTTGCCAGTGGCTAATTTGTGTCCATACAGGTAGATAAGTGAACAGGAAACTTGAAATGATTTAATGCCAATTATTGTATCTGGTCTGGCAGTTTTTTTTTTCTCTTTACTCAACAACCTCCAGTACTCCTCTCCACATAAAAAGAACTTAACACAAGGCAAAGCTAAAACTAATTCTCTAATGTATTAATATTAGAGTGGATTAAAAGTATTTTCATTTTTTAATCAATGGGAAAGGATGTGTGAAATCCTGTATATTTTTCAAATTTATATTTTGAGGATCCAAGCTCTTTTGAGAGTTTTAAGTAATTTCTAAGGATCTGATAGATTTTATTTTTCATCCAACATTATTTCTCTTTACTCTAAACATCATTTTTGTAGATAAATGTATTTGAGCAGACAGCATTTTTTTATATTTATTTTAAACAGTGTGAATTACATCTACTGGCTAATACATTCAGGAGACTTAACAAAGAAAAATGTGCTCTCTGGCAGAGTTTGAATCTATGTCTCCCTTTGTAGGCGGAAACTACCATCTGATCCAGTTCTGTGACTGAACAGTCTAAAGCATGCTAGATCAGACAGTGGTTTCCCTTAGAAAGGGAGACACAGGTTCAAACTCTGCCAGAGAGCACATTTCTCTTTATTAAGTCTCTTGAATGTGCAGGCTGGTAGCCATAATTAGAAACTATTCAAATACATTTATCCTCAAAAATAATGTTTAAAGTTTTTAGTGCTTGTGACCTTGTATTTTAAAGCATCATAACTGACAACTGATCGTCATTCAGTTCTGAGCTTTATTTGAAAAGATATATTCCCAGTCTTTAAATGTTTAATGTAGTTTTAAAAGTATGGTCAGGTATAGTTTAAAGTTAGGAAGGAAGCCTCCATAATATTGAAGAGAACAATTACTGTTAACCTGAGCATTGCAATAAAAAATGATAGAGTAAGAGAAAAAAGAAATAAAAAAAAATGAATAATAATGGCACTACTTTGGGCTAAGAAATTTTGACCTATTGTGTTTTATTACTCAGTATAATCAATCAATAGAAATAAGATGAAAGAGACTTAGCAAAAATTAATAATAATGACAGTGCTTCATCTAAGAAATGCAAATAACTTAATACTGATGTAGGCACAACTACTACTATGTGTAAATCAGTGACAAAAATAAAATGAAAGAAAAGTAAACAAAATGTTTAATAATACAATGCATTATTTAAAAAATTCACAGACAATTATACTTGAAAGAAATTTTGCAATGAATTTATATGAAATTTTAATATGATTTTTTTTTGTTTTTCTTTTTTCAGATATTGGTCATCCCTTCGCAACTTAGTTGTTTCTTTACTAAGCAGTATGCGTTCCATCGTCAGTCTGCTGTTTCTTCTTTTCTTATTTATCCTCATCTTTGCCTTACTTGGAATGCAATTATTTGGTGGAATGTAAGTATCCAAAACAATCAACTGTAAAAGTGCTTTGTATCTTTACTTATTTATCAGAAAATCATATTTACCAACATTATTCACAGAAGCTTCAGATTCAATAACAGGGTTGTTCAAGTTTCTTGAAATCAATGGAGGCTATATAACTTCATAATTTGATCCTCTCATGTTTCAAACCATGTTTGTTGCTCTCATCAAATGGGCATATTTATCCTTCTATAAAAATAAATTTGATGGGTTTACAAAATATGGTCTTAATTAATATAATACAAAATAATTAGAAATGTTGCTACATACCAAGTGAACTCAGTGATAATCTGTGTTAAAATCAACTCAAGTGATAAAATCTCCAAGGATGTGAAAATCATCTAAGGCACTAAATGCATTGAGGGTAGTAAAACCATCTGAGCCAATAAATCATCCCAGGTAGTAAAATCATTGAGTGTAGTAAAACCACCTTGGACAATAAATCATCTCAGGTACTAAAATCATTGAGGGCAGTAAAACTCCCTGGACAATAAATCATTTCAGGTCCTAAAATTATATAGGGTACTAAACAATCTAAGCACTAAAATCAGCCAAGGTACTAAAACTATCTTAAGCACTAAAAGCAAGGCATCAAAATTATCTTTCAAAACCATTTAAAATATTAAAAGTAAGTTTATGTTATGGGTACATGGCTGAATGGTTAGAATATTCACTTTCTAACCATAAAACCTGTGTTTGAATCTCACAATGGTCAGTTTGTTAGGAAGGTGATTTCATGTTGATATCAGCATGTGTAGCATCTTTGAAAAATGTCTGAACTTCATACCATTGGTTTCCATGAAATTGGGTAAGCAGAATTATTCATAGGCCATCAATAGTTGTACTAGCACAGAGTCACAAGTCATCACGACTGAGGGTTTGAGCAGACCGTCCTTGTTCAAACTATTCATTATACCAGATGATGCGCACTCTCCCAAAAACTGTAATTAAGATTAGCTCAGTTGCAGTATAAACCAGAGTTGGGCTCTGTGTGTATTGAACAAACACAAATGGGCCTGAGCAGATTGGCTGGCTGCTCTAGCAGATGAGTTGGTTGTGTATGTTAAAAGGTTCCATCTCTTTCGAGTGATGATTGGCTTCAAAACTGCTGAAATTTTTTTAAAAATCTTCTGACTCAGAATAATTAATAAATTCAAAATTAATTATTTTTATATCTGATGTGTGTATTGAGAGAAGTCTTTAACATTTTCATTCTTGAAGTGAAGATATCCATGAGAATTATGATACAGATTAATGCAAATCAAATTTATTTTATATCTTCACAGTTTTCAATCAATTTTATAGTTTCTTTTTGGTTTCTTGCTTCACAAATTGTATTAATAAACTAATATAAATATATATATGAAAAAAAGTAATGACATGACTTAAAAGTAATGGTTTAATTTTAACTTAAAGGGTTTCATTTTAACTAAAATGATTTAATTAGAACTTAAAGTTAATGGTTTAATTTTAATTTAAATGATTTAATTTTAACTTGTCTGTATGTAAGGTTTTATTTGAGTTTTACTACATTTGTATATGTTTAAATTTCAGGATGAATTTTGAAGAAGGAAGGCCTCCTAGTCATTTCGATACTTTTCCTATCGCTTTATTAACCGTGTTTCAAGTGAGTATAATAGTTTCTTTTAAATGTTATTACATCTAAAACCAAATGTTCAATGTTCTTGTTCTTCATTTTTTTGTTCTTTTTCTTCTATGTTCCATATCCCTTCAAGATGTGAGTAATCATGGCTCTCCACAATTTCCTGTCCTTTGTAGCGCTTAGTAAATTGTCTTTGCTCTGTTTCTAATTCCTGTTTGTGCCAACTATTTACTCAAGTGTAGATTATACATTGATTTCCTCTGTCCCTCTTGCTTTCAATGTCCTGTGATTGTCAAATTTTATAAGCCATCTTTTCTCATTACGTACCCTAAAACTTTCAACTGCTTCTTTAATATATCTCTTAGAAATTTGAAGATTGTTACCTGTTGTAGGTTTTATTCCTTTATTTTCCAATTGTTACAGACAGAATGATATTTGTATGGGCATTTTATGATTGTTCTCATTGATCTTTTTGTTAACAGATCCTAACTGGAGAAGATTGGAATGAAGTTATGTACAGTGGAATACGGGCCCGTGGTGGCATCGGTGGTGGAGGAATGTTATATTGTTCATACTTTATTGTTCTGGTACTTTTTGGAAACTGTATCCTTTCTCTGCAATTTATTTTTCCAAAATATTTATATTGTTTAATTATATATTTAATTAAACTATGATATAAGCTGTTAAAATGACTACAAAAGGATCCCTGTTTTCTGTGGGAACAACCACTATTAGTGGTAAAACAGAGGCTGCTGACAGAGTAATATGGAGGCACAGGATCAATCATCCCTCACCAAAACAAGTGGTAAAAAAAAAAGGGATAGAAATAAAAAGAAAAAAATTGCTCTGCAAGTGTGGAGCTTCTGCCCATTGTCAAACCCTCTTTGTCAATCATTATGAAAAAGGCATGCCCCTCCTATGTAGGGCCTCATAGAGCTTGCAACAGTTATGAAAAACCCTCTCAAATCTTTGTTTGTAAAGACAAGCAGTGATTATTTTTTTAAATACCTTAGAGAAGAAAATGATGAGTTTCAACTAACAAAAATAACTGCTTCCTGATATCTTTCTCATTATTTAACACCCAAGATGACAAAGTGATATATTATTATTTTCTTTTTATTTGATCAATTAAAATATTATTTACGAAGGGATTTATCATTCAAAGATGGTAAGGAATTGCACTATGCTAAAAAACCAAAAAAAAAAGATTTTATATTTTTGTATTAATATGTTTATTTTCTTTTTCCCCTGGAAGGAATGTGTTTGATTCCATATTATATATAGCCAAGTGGTTATAATGTTAGTGTTCTGACCAGGAGATCCAGGTTCAAATCTCACCATGGATTATTTGTCAAGGAGATGATTCTTGATCATATCATCCTTGGGAGATGATTCCAGCATGCAACCTCATTGAGAAGTGCCTGAAAATCATAGGTTAACCCAATCTTTGTGAGAGAAACTGGTTAGAATAAAAATTTTGGAAGTTGTTGATGGTCATGCTAGTATGAAATCACAAGTGATTGTGATCATACTAGCCTTATTCAACTACTAACCATACCTGTACAAGTGATTGTGGCTGAGGGTTTGAGCATGCTAACCTAATTCTACTAGTAACCATGCCTGTACAAGTGATTGTGACCGAGGGCTTGAGTATACAATTCTTATTCAAATACTAACCATACCTACACAAGTGATTATGGCTGAGGGTTTGAGCATGCTAATCTAATTTTACTAGTAACCTTGCCTGTACAAGTGATTGTGACCGAGGGCTTGAGTATACAATTCTTATTCAAATACTAACTATACCTATACATGTGATTATGGCTGAGGGTTTGAGCATGCTAACCTAATTCTACTAGTAACCATGCATGTACAGGTGATTGTGACCAAGGATTTGTGTATGCTAACTTTATTCAAATAGTAACCATACTAGATTTTGAACTATTTCCTTGAATGTCTAACTAGAATTTGCTCAGCATGGCTACAGTGTAAACCACAATTTGGCTCAGTGTCTTGAAAGAATCTAACAGCGATTAGCAAGCCACCCTAGCTGATAAGCATACTCAGAAATGAGTAACTAGCATATATTATAATATACTGCAAAAGTTGCTTTCTTCTTTTTCCTTATCTTGTTTTCAGACACACTGCTGAATGTGTTTTTGGCCATCGCTGTCGATAATTTGGCCAATGCTCAAGAGCTAACTGCTGCTGAGGAGGAACAAGAGGAGGTACGACAAGAGGTTAGTTTTAGAATCATCCAATTTTCATATCAGTGGATCTGCCACTGACATGAAAACTGGATCACCAACCCAGCGTTTGGATGGAGACCTACTGGTTGGCATGTTGCATCCAAAAAAATAGTGCTGGTAAGAAATAGCTATTTACACAAGCCGTGATTGTTGAGGCTATGTACAATAGCTATGACAATAAGGAGATTCTTATATGAATCCATGTAGTGCTCCTTTGTTTTGTATTTTTTATTCTAAATATGATTAATATTTGCACAATACACAGTGTAAATATTATTCAATGTTCCTTTGTTAATAAATTTATATTTAAAAAAAAAAGTTAATTTTTGAAAAAAAAAGTAAATATTAATAATGGAATTTATATTACAGCAGCATTTTCCATTATAAAAGCTGGATTTCCAAGTAAATGTTTCCAATTCCAAGAAGATCTTTAAATGATCTAAGTTTATTTCTTGTTCAACAAGCAAGTTTTAGAAGTTACTATAACTTTTTAAACATTTCAATAGAAACACATCAAAAGTGCAAGGGTTATTGGTATGCAAATTGGAATCAGTCAGCCAAGTTCAAATACCCACCTAGGCTGTTGCATTTACTTTCACACCAATGCTCTTTGGAAAGGCATTACTTCTCCCTTCCTCAGATATGGGTTAAATAACTGGGTAGATTGGGCTCTCTAGCTTTGGATAGCAAGCAGTCTATAAGAAGGACTAATCTGAATTCAAAACTATAAAGAAACCACTCCACTATCTTTACCAAGAGGTTATAGCAATTCATTGATAATAATGAAAGAGGAGTCCATGGAAAGCCATTATTTCCTACATTCAGAAGAGACATGTCATTTTTCAGGATATATATTATCACTTTAAACATTATTTTTAGTGGATGCTCCATTTTATTAAACAGTATATATTTACACCTACCATTCTGAATATTCAGGAAGTCTTATTAAAGAAAAATATGCACTCTCTGAACATTTACTCAACAAGAACAAGATTTAGTTTAATCTATGAACTTATATTAGGGTGTATCAAAACTATTTTCATTTATACTCAAATACATGCAGAATCTCTTTGAAAATGTATGTAAAAATCTATATGATATCACTTGGTCATTCTTGCTCTGCTGAAAGTTTTTGGGATTTCTTGCATTTTAAACTATCATAATTGGCAACTAATTATCAACTTCTGAGTTTTATTTCAAGGTCAAAATTGCCACCCTTGAAATGATTCAACCAGTTTTGACTTGTATAGGCAGATATTGGTTTGTTTCCTTTTACTTCTCTTTTGTACCAAGTACAAGTCTAGAATAGTCATCATGCGTATGGGGATTTTTCAAACCTGTAAAAACTTACTTGCTATGGAAATTGCATCAACAGTACTTAAGATGGTGAAGCTTGGGCTCTTTATATAGGATGCTAGCAACAACATGCACTTATATTAGGCTGTATAAAAACCATTTTCATTTTTAATCAAATGAGATTACACAAGGAACCTCTTCAGGATCATATGTAATGTTCTTTCTTTTGAGCATACTCACTCTTATGAAAACTTTCCAGGAATGCTGGTTCTGCCATTTTAAATAATCATGATTGGCAACTAGTCATCATCCTGTGTTTTATTTCAAGGAACAAATTACTACTCTGAAAAGTGATTAAAACAGTTTTGACTCGTATAGTCAGACATTGTTTTGTTAACTTTTACTACTCTTTTGGAGCAAATACAGTGGCCATCTGGAATAATCATACCAAAAGGAATTTTTCAACTCATAAAATAAGCATGCTAGTTCCAATAAATGTTCTACCAGGAATTTTTATATAAGTTTAACAAAGATGCCTGTGGAGATAAGTATGCTGTACTAAATAAGCACTGTACTTGTGGGTGGTGGGGTCCTGTGCCGATATAATTCAAGGAAATAATTTAATCATGTCAGCACTTGTATTTGATACACAAGGGTATCTGAATTACATAAATATCTTCAGCAGCTATGAAGCCAAGTTTAAAATAAACACTTTCAGTACTTATATTTGCCATTTTAAAACCTCAAACAAAAGGTACACTTGAATGGTATCAATACCAATATATATATATATATATATATATATATATATATATATATATGGTTTTCTCCCAAAATAATGCCTCCTATTTTCTTTTATATCGGTTTCCAATGTCAGAAGTGAATGTTGGTGCTATAACAGTATAGGTAGAACCTCTCTCTTGCTATAATTACATTTTCCTTGTTGGTAGTCTGAAAAAATGTTGTCTGGCATGAAAGTGCATATGAAACAGGTGTATCAATGAATTCCTCCATGTGAAAAGAAATTACACTCATTAACATTCATTGCTTGCTGAACATTCACAAAGGCCAAAGTGAAGATGTGAGCACAGTTAAGCAGTGGTAATACAGTTGAGCAGTGGCAATTATAATATATGTAATAAAAAAAGAAGTGGTTCGCCACAACTGGTGAGGGTTTTTATAAATGCAGCATGCAAACTCTAAATTCATCACTAGCTGATAGTGGTGACTTTCTAGAAAAACAGTGCTTTGTCGGTGAAAACATGCTCTGTCCAATAATTTTATTGTACTCTATGTATCGCTATAGTTTATGCAGAAATATAAAGAAGTCATAATTTTCAGATTATCCACTGTGTAATACAGGAGGCATTACTTTGAGAACAAGCTCCATCTAACAATATGGAAGGCATTATTTTCAGGGTATTAAACATTTAATAATATAGGAGGAATTATTTTGAAGCACACTCATGTATGGGACATATTATTTTTTAAGTGTCTTTTGTGTATTAATATAAAAGGCATTACTTTTGGAGTACCCATTGTGTAATAATAGTATCATTAATATATGGAGTCATAATCTTTAGGCATTTACTTGAAATAAGCTTTATAGTAAGGATCTGTAAAAACAAAAATATTTTTGATACATCCTCATATTTTAATGCTATTATCTGCTTTTCACCTTTGGCTCTTCTACCATAAAACACTAGAACAAATAGAAAACACATTTCTATAAAATTAAACTACCACTGTCCCATAATTAATGTTACATTTAATATAAAAAAAAAAATGTGTATATTAATATAATGACTATCATGGAAATGGTTAGTATTATTTAATACTCAAAGTGTGTTCTGAACTTTTTAATTTTAGATATGATACAAATACTTCTGAGTATCATCCCATTCATTATTTATATTTTTCATTCTATAACTTCTTATATGAATAAAATCATTGCTGCTATGGTTCGTTTGATAAAGTAAAAGTTATAGCAGAGTAAACTCCCTTTTCAATATGGCTTCCAATGTCTGCACACAATGTATGCAAAATTTCTGAAGAAAGTATTAAATCTGTATAAATATTTCCATTGCCACAAAGACAGATACGCATAAAGGATTTTCCCAACAAAAAGGAACCTTGTGCACACTGACTGTTGTCTTTTTGTTCCTTTTCTATTTCAAGTATACACCTTTTTTTCTTAGGACATGAACAAACTCAGATACTTGTATTATCCACTGTGCATGAATTACTTCTTATCTTATTCTGCAAATACAAGGTTGTTAGCTTTTATTTTATGCTTAATGTAGATTGATATTTGGGGAAAAAAAGAAAATTATTTTATCACCTTATATTTCAAATCACTTACTAGTGTAACATTGAATGGCAAACTCATTAATCTCTGAAAATGTTAGTTACAACATTTTGGTATCACATGCATAAAGATAACTAATTTCAATCACTATAGCTTAAATTACTGGAGATGCTGTTGCAAAATTATTCCATTTTCTATTCGGAATTATTCAGAATTTTAAAGCAATATATTTGAACATTGGAACACTTTCACCAGTCAATTGCTCATTTAACTAAACTCCTCCATTTTTTTCCATCTGTTTCGGACAAGCAGCAAGAGGCAGCCGAAAAGAAAAAACTCGCAGTATGTATCAGTTGTACCTCCCTTCCTGTTAGTTGCATATTTTCTTAGTGGCAGCATTTTGATAGGATGTGTGCTATTGAAACTGTGAATCTTCCCAATTTGGAGATGAACAATCATCAGATTATTAAACTTAAATTCCTGCAAAGGAAAATGTTTCTGACTTCATGGCTGTTATTTTTTTTTTTTTTTTTGTAAATCGATTTATTTGTTTTGATTTCTTTATTTTCTCTAAGCTTCAATTGGTATTGGATTCATTTGGAAGGAGAAACAGGATTCTTGCATGTCAACTTCCTAACGAATTTCCTGCGTTGTTCAGAGTTCTTCCTTCACAAATTTAATTATCCTGTCTCTCAAAATTAGCAGGTTTTGCAGTTGTGATGTCACATGTCCTTTGCTATGTAGATTTGTACTTCTTTAGGTAAAATAATTCTAGACGTTTAATATATATTAGACTAGGTGTTTTAATTACTGAATGGAAATATCTAAACTATTTTAAACATACAATTATATATATATATATATATATATATATATATATATATATAAAATATGTGCATTTGTGTGTGTATGTAAGTTACTACACAAAAGTTCACTGAAAATAGGTCCCTCAAAAAACAAAAGCATTGAGATACAGGAGGATTTTTATTTCCTGGTGGAGTGATTTCAAGAGATGTGTGAAATGTATAGTGAGACAAGGACAATATTACATAATTTGATATCAAATGTAACTGATAAATCTAATAAAATTCCTTTCAATAGACTTTTGAGGGAAGGACCTTATATATATATACACACACACACACACACACATATATATATATATATATATATATACACACACACATACACATATATACAGTATTTTTTTCTTAAATTAACACTTTTATAGGAGCATCTTTATTACAAAAAGAAAAAGATTATACCTGCTCATTATGTCTGTTAAAACATTATTGAAATCTTTCACAGGTGATTAAGACTTGTATAGGAGATCTGCTTTGTCTGATAAACTACTCCAATAGATATATTAATATTTTTAGGAATCACA